GTTTGTGTCCATCAATATGATCTCATCTGTGACCCAAACGATCACAGGACCCACAGCCTGAAGCTCACCTGCTCCGTGACAACGTTCCTCTCCACCAGGTGAGGGATGGTGGCGTAGTGCTCGGGCTTCCAGGGCAGAGACACGTTCCTGTACTCCATGTCTTTGGTCTGGAAGATGTTCTTCTCGCCTGGAACAAGCACAAGGTTTCAAGTGGAACAAAACAAACTTGGTCAATTTGCAGTCTTCTGGTCTAAAAACTATAAATTTGAGGTTTTTCACAGTTTTGGAGCAGAAAGCTGCAAATGTGCCGGTAGTTTTCACTCATAACAACATAATATGACTTCATTTAAACACCACATGAGTATAAACCGCAACAATGATGCATTTGGAGTTGGAAAAACTGCATCACTTTGTTCAGATATTGTGAAAAAAAAAATCCACTTTTGTTTATTTCTACTGACAGATGAAGAACTTGTGCCAGTTGTTTTGTTGTTTGTTGGATAAGCCCAGTAGTGACAGAAATATGAACATAAACCAGGTCAACAGATTTACACTCTGACACTTTCACTTACAGCAAACTCCACCTGAGAGGATGTTGAACAAACCTACAGATTAAACATTAGATACACGGGGTCACATTTCAGGGCGTTAGAGAGATTTATGAAGCTTCAGATCGGAGGGAAAAGGCCAAATTTAAACCAGTGATTAGTGTTTTTGTTTGTGGGACAGGAACAGAACTGCAGCTCTGAGCCTGAAGAATAAGAAAAGAGTTTCTGGTTTGTCACATCAGAAAGAGGCGACGGTCTGATGATACCAGATGATGAGGAGGAGATTGTTTTGGACCAGAATATAAAATAATCAGTCAGTGCATGTTCTCCACTTCTCCTCTTGGTGCTGAAAACTCACCCGCCACATCCAGGTCCACTTTGAAGTTGACGAAGTGCGTGTGCATATTTCCCAGAACCTTTGGCGCCACTTGGTGCCCGAATTTGTGACTGTCCCGCACGAGGAAGGAGGAGGAGATGTATCCTGTCGCGTGCACCTTGGCCTCCACGGCGCCGGTCTGATAGAAAATAAAATCCCACATGTAGTCGTAGTTTTCGATGGCGGTGATGGTCCTGAGGACGAGCGCGCTGTTCGCCATCCCGCCGTAACTGTTGTGGAAAAAGTCTGAGAAGTGTCTGCGCAGCGGCTGACCCAGGTACAGCTCAAAGATACACATGGAGTTCCGGGTGCGCGTGGGCTCGGACACATCAATGTACCTGTACGTGTCCACGTACTTGGCGTCATATGGACAGTCCACACCGCGCACGAGCTCGTGCGCGAAGCGGCCTATGCCAAAGCCGGAGTCCAGAAACTTGGTCATGCCCAGGCCCGGGGTCATGGAGCCGTACACGGACATGGCCTCCTGCAGGCTCAGCTCGTAAAGGATGCGCTCGTCTCTGAAGCGCACGTCGAACACGCGCATCCCCGTGACCGCGCTGAGCCCGAAGGCAAAGCTCCAGTCCATGTAGAGCACGTGGTTGTGGCTCACGCTGTAGCGCGCGCCCTCGGGGTTCACGAGCTGCGGTCCGACCTGCAGGGGTCGTGTCCGGGGCTTCAGGGAGCCGTAGTCCTCCCACGGGATCTTCACCATCTTCTTCACGGTGCCCGCGGCGTCCGCGTCACGAAGCGCGTCCACTGACTCGAAGTACTGATCGTTGTAAAAGACGCGCTCCACGCGCCACTGTGACGCGTTGGTACTCCGGTGATCCACGAGCACCTCAAAGCCCACGGGCTGCAGGTAAAACCCGCTCAGGTCACGGAGGAACGAGATCCAGGTGTTGCGGTCGCCGGCGCGTAACCCGCGCGGCATCTGCTCGAAGGGTCTGAGTTTGTGCTCATGGTCCACGCCAAAACTCTCGCGGAGGAGCGTGGACAGGGGCGAGAACACTTTATCCTCCAGGAACTGGAACAGAAGCACGTATTCTCCCACGGTGACTGCGCGCGCGCTCAGCGGCAGGTCCGTGCCGTAGCGCTCACGCGTCACGTCGCGGTGGTAGCTCGGTTTGGGCAGAGGTCCCACCTCGTACTCTTTAATGTGGCCCGTGGAGCCGAAGAAAACCACGACTGTCGCCTCTCTGCGCGGCGCGGGGGCGCGCGCGTCCAGGTGCGCCAAAACCTGGGACTTTGGTGGCACGCGCAGGTCAATGAGGAAGAGGAAGTTCTCGTCCGGTCTCGTGCTCTGGCGCGTGGAGATGTCCAGGTCCTTCTGTCGGAGCATGTACTGCTGCACCTGCGCGTACTCGTCGCGGCTCAGGTCCGCGAACACGCGACTGCGCTCGTCGTGTTTTCCCCGGAGCGCGTGTTTGCTCCGGGCCGCGCACGTGGGCGTCCTGCGGGAGTAGCCCACGATGAGCGCGAGGTTCAGAAGCACAGAGAAGAGCACGAGCAGCCCCGCGGCCCACTTCACCAGCGCGTGCATCCTGGAGCTGCACGAGCGCTCTTTTGTCTTCAGAGTTTGGAGACTCCCGCGTGCACGCTCACAGACCCCCACCCATGCGCGTGCGCCGTAGAGCCCCACGAGCTGCTGTCTGCTTTTTTATTTTGTGGTTATATTTTACAGCACTGAAGTTTTGTTCAGTAGAGAAAAGAGAGTAGAGATTTTTTTTTTTAAAGACTCTAACTCATGCTGCAGTTTCATTCTGACATTTATTTAAAGCAGCTCCTGAGTTTTGTGTTGTGTGTTTGTAAAAGCTGCTGCTCTTTATGTTTTATATGACGCACACAGGAAGTGCCATTCTAATCACTATTTAACCATTACGATGGCATGATGTTTATCGTTATTATTTTATGCCCTAAATATCCAAAAGTTGTTCTTGTGATCTGTGTCTGTCTGTCTGTCTGTGTCTCTGTCTCTGTGTCTGTGTCTGTCTGTCTCTGTCTGTGTCTGTCTGTCTGTGTCTGTGTCTGTGTCTGTGTCTCTGTCTCTGTCTGTCTGTCTGTGTCTGTGTCTGTGTCTGTCTGTCTGTGTCTGTCTCTGTCTGTCTGTGTCTGTCTCTGTCTGTGTCTGTGTCTGTGTCTGTCTCTGTCTCTGTGTCTGTCTGTGTCTGTGTCTGTGTCTGTGTCTGTGTCTGTGTCTGTCTGTGTGTCTGTGTCTGTCTGTGTCTGTGTCTGTCTGTGTCTGTGTCTGTGTCTGTGTCTGTGTCTGTGTCTGTGTCTGTGTCTGTCTGTGTCTGTGTCTCTGTCTGTGTCTGTCTCTGTCTCTGTGTCTGTCTCTGTGTCTGTCTCTGTCTGTCTGTGTCTGTCTCTGTGTCTCTGTGTCTGTCTCTGTGTCTGTGTCTGTGTCTGTGTCTGTGTCTGTGTCTGTCTCTGTCTCTGTGTCTGTGTCTGTGTCTGTGTCTGTGTCTGTGTCTGTGTCTGTGTTTGTGTCTGTGTCCAGAGCTCTGGGTCTGTAGAGGGGCAGAGTCTGAGCAGAGTCTGGTGGAATGTTGGCAGGATTGTGAAAGTGGGGGACGCTGGCGGCTGATTGGTTCGTGACCTGAGGGTGACCCAGCACGGGCTGTTGTGATTGGCTGTTGTGTGGAGCTGGAGCAGCGTGTTTGTTCACATTTGGAAGTGTTTATAATCAGAGGTTATCTCAGGACACATGTGCAGGGAGGACCGCAGCTGCACCCAGCGCTGCCAGACACATTCTGTGCTTTTCCTAAACATCCAAGAGCACAAGGTTCACAGGGTTTGTCCTGAGAAAACTCCATCACACTCCTGGACCTGGAGAGAAGAGCTGCCAGTCACCAGTCACACACACTCAGGTCACAGCTGAATCAGACCTGTGATTTAACCCTTTGGTTTATGGGCAGTGATGTGTCTGCTGCTCTTGGTTTGGGTCTTAAAGTTCATGAGTCTCTTTTCCGCAGGGACAGTTCTGTTGGAGTCTTGGAGCGGGTCTGTGGAGTGGCTCCCTCCAGACCAGGGGTGGGCAAACTTTTTGGCTCGCGGGCCACATAGGGTCCTAAAATTTGCCTGAAGGGCCGGACAGAACACAGGACATGACGTGTTAAGAGCTCGGCTGCATTATATTCGTATTTACGCTTATGTAGAAAACGCACTAAGCGCTACGACATCGCCGTGAAAGATTCAGAACACACAAAAATTAACAGACCTGTTAGGTTTTAATAAGAAACAGCACCCATGCCACAAAGTCACATGCGATATAACAAGACTCTTAAACATTCTATGTGTTAAAACTTATAACACAACATCTATAAAATTCTTGTCTTTCATTTTCACCAACTCAAAACGGAAGCAGTGCAATGTTATACCTTGAACACCACTACTTCACTCAAAGTCCGAATAATTCCTGTAAGAACACTTTCCCATAAAGCATTGCGGCCAACATAATACGCCACACTTCAATGTATATGTATATATATATATATATATATATATATATATATATATATATATACATACACATATATAGTGCGCCATCTACTGGGAAACGCCGGAAATGCATGAAAAATAAAACATCAACAAGGTTTATTATTGTAATTTATTCCAGTTCAGCGGGCTGGATTAAAAGGTTTAAAGGGCCGCATATGGCCCCCGGGCCGTAGTTTGCCCACCCCTGCTCCAGACCAAACTGTGTCCATGTCCCAGGCTCCAGGTCCAGGGACAGAAACCCAAAACATGCTGCATATGTCTCCAGGAAGAACAGTTGATAGTCAAGGTCAGTTAAATACAATCATTCAATAGAAATTAGCTCTGGTGCTACAACCAGGTACAAAGCATCTCTCTTGTTAAAGGTTGTATGGAGGATTTTTTTTAGTTTCAAATTGTCAGTGAAAGATTAAAATACAATTCACAGAGACGCAGCAGCTTTGTAATTATGACGACCAAAAAAAAAAAAAGAACGAAAATCTATCAACTGTGGACGTGTTGAGGCCAGATAAACATCAGCCAATAGAAAACGAGACTCCCTCATTTTCTATTGGCTGTTAGGTTGTCAATCAAACTCCCTAGTATAACTGACTCGTCGGAGCGCGGGGATTACGTGGTTTACGCAGCGGTTCTTAGAGGCTTTTTCGAACTGTCGCTTCCTCGCATTTCGCACAAAGTTTGTCGCGACGGCGGACGAGAATCCACGACCGGTTCGCCGCAAAAGAAAGTCCGTTTTTGAGGTCGGTGAAAGAAGAAGAGAAGAGGAAAAGGAGCAAAGCCAAACTGAGGTGATTCTTGGAGATCTCGTCCAGCGATGGCGCGACCGAAGCAGACGAAGGGTCTAAAAACTGACGCGTCGGTCGCTGAATTACTTCTAAACAGGAAACTTCAACAGTAATTCTGAACGCGCACAAGGACTGTCGCTGTATTTCTCTTCCCTTAAAAAATCCTCTATACAACCTTTAAGTCAAACTTTTGTCCAGTCGACAAACTGAATTTTCTCCTCGTCGTGGATTCTGCCTGGACGACAGAGGGATTCTTCACACCTCTGCTGTTAAGGTTAATGTAAAAATTGTGCACTGTTCCTGTCTCAAATAAATAAATACATAAAAATAAATAAATAAAAATGCTGCTGTGAGACACTGACCTTCCCAAACACAACTCATGTTTTATTCATAAATACGATTTAAATCAGATCTGAATTATTCTCTTCTTTATGAAGTCAACTGGACTGGGAGATTTATAAGTTGTTCGGTTTTTTTAAACTTCATCCCACTTCTTTAAAGCACCAGGTCCCAAATATGTACATGTACACGTCCCTGTGTGAAGAATCCCTCAGTCGTCCAGGTAGAATCAGCGACGAGGAGAAAATTCAGTTTGTCGACTGGACAAAAGGTAGTTTGGTTGAAGACGTTTCACAGATCATCCAAGGTGCTTCTTCAGTTCATGAAGAAGCAGCTTGGATGATCTGCGAAACGGATTTTCTTTTTTCTTTTTTTTTTTTTTGCCAGCTTTTTTTCCCCTGTTTGGGAACATTTTGAGCTGATATCTCCTAATAAAGTATATAGTAATAATGACGTCATTAAATAAAATACAAAATACACAAATCTGACAACACACTGTTTGTTCTGGTCTAATATATTTCTTGTAAAAAAAAAAAAAAATCTTTTAACCCGACCATTATATCATGAACACAGACTCCATGTTAATAAATTCACAATTTATGTTGAAATCACAAACATTCAAATATTCAATCATTCATTAGTTCAGTATAAATCTTTCCATCAGAACCTCGATGATCATGTTAAAGGTTGTATGGAGGATTTTTTTAAAATATTTTTTTCAAATTGTCAATGAAAGTTAAAAATAGAATTATAAAGAAGAAGCAGCCTTGTAATCATGATGACCAAAAAAAAAAAAAAAAAGAAAAGAAAAATCTATCAAGTGAGGATGTAGTGAGGGCAGATAAACATCAGCCAATAGAAAACAAGGCTACCTCTTTATCTATTGGCTGTTAGGTTGTCAATCAAATTCCCTACTTTTCTAGCGTCGCTGACTTGCCGACGGGCTGGGATTGTGTGGTTTATGTTCGCGGTTCATGTTTAGCGGTTCTTGGCGTCTTTTTTGAACTGTAGCTCTCAGTTTGCACAAATTTTGTTTTAATGGCAGAGAAGAATTCACGACCGGTTCGCCACAAAAGAAAGTCAGTTTTTGACGTTGCTAAAAGAAGAAGAGAAGGTGAAAAGGTGCGAAGCGCAACATTTAAAAAAGGACAAACAGTGGCTGCATTTCTCTTTCCTTGGAAAATCTTCTATACAACCTTTAATTGTTCTATTTTCACTCTGTCTGTTATTCGTTTTTTGTCCACTTGTTGGCGCAGTGGAGCAAATGAAACACCTTGAAGCGTCGGCTCAGGAGTCGAGTAAATAGATGGAATGTTTCATTGCTTCATGAGGCTTCATCTCGACATCACTAGGTCGACCTAAAAAAAACCTCTTGTGACCCACCTGAGGATCACGATCACGACTTTGAGAAACAATGATCTAACGTAGGGAGACCATATTTCCATTTGTGAAAACCCGGACACCGGACACTTTACCGGGGGTGGGAGGTGGGGCCTCGACACTGAGCTACAGTCGTCCCTCGATATATCGCGGTTCACCTGTCGCCATCTCGCCGTTTTGCGCTTTTTTTTTGTTTGTTTGTTTTGTTTTGTTTTGTTTTTGTGTGTGTCAATTTTGCATGTTTTTTTGTTTGTTTGTTTTTGTTTTTTTACACACAGGTGGGTCAGGACTAAACCAGGTCTAAACCAGGACTAATCTTGGACTTAAGAGAGAGAACCCCGAGCAGTTTGTCCGCAAAGCGCGATCGGGCAATTGCCGCGTTTACCTCCGTGAGGTGTGGAGCTCTGAGTCGGTCCTTTCTCCTGCGTCACCTTCGAGTCCGTCCCGACAGTGAGTCCTGTTTCAGTTGTCTGGTTTAGTCCTGGTTTACTCCTGGTTTAGTCCTGGTTCAGTCGTGGATTAGTCCTCCTCTTCAGTCCTGGAACTAGTCCTGGTTTAGTCTTGGTTCAATCCGTGG